TGATTTGCATTTCTTTTATGGCTAGGGAGGTTGAGCATTTCTTCGTGTGTCTATTGGCCATCCTTCTTTCCTCTTCAGAGAAGTTTCTCTTTAAGTCTTTAAACAACAGATGCTGGAGAAGATGTGGACAGAAGGGAACCTTATTGCATTGTTGGTGGGAGTGTAAACTTGTTCAACCTCTTTGGAAAGTAGTATGGAGGTTCCTCAAAAGACTCCACATAGAGCTCCCCTATGACCCAGCAATCCCACTTTTGGGCATTTACCCAAAAGTTTACAAACAAGACCACACTAAAGCTACCAGCGTGACTATGTTTATTGCAGCACTATTTACTATAGCTGAGATATGGAACCAACCCAGATGCCCCTCAGTAGATGAATGGATCAAGAAAATGTGGTATATATACACAATGGAATTCTATGCCTCCATCAGAAAGAATGACATTGCCCCATTTGTTAGGAGATGGAAAGGCTTGGAAAAAATTATATTAAGTGAAGTAAGCCAGGCCCAAAGAAACATAGGTCCCATGGTTTCCTTTATTTGCAATATCTAGTATATGTCTGAGTCAAGCAGAAAAGGTCAGATAAGGTGATGTTAGGGAAATGAACCCTAAGATATGTATTCAAACGTTTATTTTTCTTTCATGCGATTGTTTCTAACGCATTTATAAGATTATTTCTTTGTTGCTTTGTATGTCCCTCCCCCACAATATAACCCCTGCTTTCACTATATTTGATGTCGGTATAATTTGTGGAGGGGAAGGGGAAAAACAATCGTTTAAATAAGGATACAGGTGGACCCATTGCAACAATGAGATGTACAAGTCGTTATGTCGAAAGTAAACTTTACAACTTTGGTGCTGGGGCAGGGGAGCGGGGGGAAGGATGGGAAGGGATGGGAAGGGGAAACAAAGGAGGAGGCTACAATGCTTGATAAGAAATGTACTCATTATCTTGCCCATGTAATTGTAACCCCTCTGTACAGTATTTTCACAATTAAAAAAAAAGGAGGCTGGACAGGATAGAGAAAACATGAAAAAAAAAAAAAAAGAATATTACAGCCCAGGCTGGCTTTGAACCACGATCCTCAGATCTCAGCCTCCTGAGTAGTTAGGATTACAGGCGTGAGCCACCGGTGCCCGGCTTCCTGTCTATCCTTTTATAGAGTTGTCAAATTTTTACCATTTCAAATAGAGGGTTAGATGTTGAAAGCCTTGTCCATCTCCCAGTTATTGTATCTTAGCCTTTAAATGAAGGAAGTTTTACTGCTTTGTTAGCTGCTTCTTATTTCCAACTTCTAATCTGGCCCATTTTGTTAAAAATGATATAATTTCCCAGTATCTTTACCCATCTATCCTGCCTCAAATAGAAGATAATTTAAATGCAAGGGTAAATTTTGGAAATTAAAATCTCAATTTGAAGTTAGAATGGTGTTAAGTTGGAAACCAGATTTTTAGACCCCAGGCCTACAGTCCAGGAGTCTCATTCTGGTCTAGCCACTCACTTCTATATGTCAAATGTCATGGTGAAAGGCAGGGAAAGGAGATTTATTACATGGCAACCATGGAAAGACAGCACTTCAGTTCATCTGCTGTCTTCAAGGATATAGACATTGTTCTTTGGTTAAATAGTGAGAACTGGAGGCAAGAGATGAGAAAGGAATGCATAGTCCTGGTCAAGATATTGCCTGGCTGACCATTATTTCAGTCTTTGTCCTTAGAGGAGTTAGTGAGAAGCTGTTATCACTTTATTACTGGAACCAAACAGAGTTGTCAGCATTCAGTCTTCTAAGCTTTTGGGTTTTGTTTTGTTGAAGATGCTAAGAGGATAGCATTGCTTGTTGGAGTGGGCACTCTGCCCTGTTTCAAGGTACTTGTCAGTGAATTTTCTCTTTCTTGGAGCCCAAAGTAATTGTAAAGTAACTGCAGCAGAGATTAGCTCAGTCAAAGAGCATCGATAAGAAGTTGGCGGACTTGGAGTAAATTCTCAGGGCCCAGTAAAACTATCTTACAAGTAAGTTCTCTCTTCTAGGACTGAAGGTGTATGCCATTGTGCCCTGATAATTCTTGATTTTGATTTTTTTAAATAAATTCTGGTTCTTTGATGATACTTTACCCTTTAATTTCTGGTCTTAATATATGAATCTTTTTTTAATGTCAATGTTTTGCTAGCTCCAATCTGAACTACCTATGGTTCTGTCTCTGTGTTCTCATCTTTGGAAATTTTGGTCACATTTTCTGGTATGGATATCTGAGTCTTTTCTTTCCTTTTTTAATTGAATATTTGGGTGGTATGATTTTCTTTTTTGTTTTTTTTGGGAGGGTCCGGTCGTGGGGCCTGAACTCTGGGCCTGGGCACTGTCCCTCAGCTCTTCAGCTCAAGGCTAGTGCTCTACCACTTGAGCCATAGAGCCACTTCCGGCTTTTTTCTTTTTGCTTATGTGGTGCTGAGGAATCAAACCCAGGGCCTCATGCATGCAAGGCAAGCGCTCTACCACTGAGCCACCTTCCCAGCCCCAAGTGGTATGATTTTCTATGGGAATGGATTTAACTTCTAGCAAAGTCTGAACAGATCACTTTGATAGAGTGAGGCTGGTCTTTTAATTTGCCCTTGTTTCCACAGCATAAGTTCCTGGGATCTTCAAACTTGCAGTTTTTATTCTCCTCATCTTTGTCAAGTCTACAACCCCAAATTTTGTTGCCATAAAAGAAACCACTGAAAATATTTGCTCAGAATATTAGGAATTCAGGAAGATGCTCACAGCAGCCTCTTTCTCCATAGTGTTCTTGAGTTTCGCCCCAAACCTGTCCAGTCCATATGTGCAAACACCACGACAAGAAAGTAAACAGAGAGCCTGGGAAGGTGGCTCAGTGGTAGAGCGCTTGCCTTGCATGCATGAGGCCCTGGGTTCCATTCCTCAGCACCACATAAGCAAAAAGAAAAAAGCCAGAAGTGGCGCTGTGGCTCAAGTGGTAGAGCGCTAGCCTTGAGCTGAAGAGCTGAGGGACAGTACCCAGGCCCAGAGTTCAGGCCCCACGACCGGACCCCCCCCACAAAAAAGGAAAGCAAACAGTTTGCTTATGTGCTGTTACCTTTTTTCTACCCTTGGGCACCTGACTGCTTTGGCTATCCTCATTAGAAAGAGACAGAGACAGAGAGAGCTTCACACAATTGCTCTTGAGTTTGGCTACTTGAGGTTGTTTTCAGGAGGAGGAATTGTTTGGAAAATCTATCGTATCACAAGCAGAGAGAGAATTCTGTATGAATGATTTAGCTTCTGAAAAACAACTAGATTCATTGCAGTTAGCATTTCAAACCATTCATGAGCTCAGTTTACCTTAAGGTATAATTCTTTTAAAATTTTTTATTGTAAGGATACTATACAGAGGTTTACAGTTACATGGGCAAGGTAATGAGTACACTTCGTATTGAGCATTGTTACCCCCTCCATTGTTTTCCCCCTACCATCCCTTCCCTCCCTACTTTCCCCGAGGTTCTTTTTTTTTTAATTGTGATTAAGTGATTACATAATTTCCCAAATTTCACAGTATTGTGGAATAATGATGCTCATTTAAAGTCACAAGTTCATTCTAACTTTCCTGGAGCAAATTGTCTATCACAGTCTATAATATATAACAGTATACACATATATACCATACATGTGATCAGCAGCATGGGGATATTTAGTAGTGGTTCGACCAGATGAGTGGGAGCTCTTTGTTTCTTAAGTCCTGTTAATTTTGTCATATCACCTAACATTTTGGATTTAGCATCCACTTATCAGGGAGACCATGTACCGTTTGTCTCTTTGCTCTTGGCTTACCTGGCTCAACAGGATTCCTTCTAGCTCCATCCATTCTCTGCAAATGCCATTATTTTGTCATTTCTAATGGCTGCATAATATTCCATTGTGTATAGATACCACAATTTTTGGATCCATTCATCTGTGGTGGGGCATCTGGGTTGTTTCCATATCCTAGCTATTGTGAACAGTGCTGCAATAAACATGGAGGTGCCTGTGTCCTTGTATATTGGTTCCTGTTGTTCAGGGTAGATGCCTAGAAGTGGTATAACTGGGTCGTAAGGGAGTTAATGACACATTTTAAATGTTATTTATAGACTTGGATTCCTTTTCTAAAGACTTGAGCTGCTTAACTATTGGCTCGATTTCCTTCATCATTTTCATACTTATTTTTAAATCTTCCTGGAGTTTAAGTTTATGTTTGCCCATTAAAGAAATGATTATGTCATTTCACACTAGTTCACAGTTTACCTTTTTGAAGAGATGCAATGTCTGGAGCTATTAATTCACTGAAAATCACATTTCAGACTGCCCAAGCTTGGTAATTACAATGATAATACCATATAAACAGAAAAAAAAACAAAACAAATGAAAAGCAAATATGGGGGCCATGATATCTCTCATGTAAACATGTAAATGAACCCCTGATGTTAAGTTGTATCATAATAGGCTTTTCAAGTCAGACGAGACTAGTCCTCAAATATTCTTTTCCTGTTTAATGAGCTTTGAATAATTTTGACACACTATTAATAATTAGAGTCCATTTACGTCTTAGGATTTTTTTGGGGGGTCCAGTTGTGGGGCCTGAACTCTGGGCCTGGGTGCTGTCCCTCAGCTCTTCAGCTCAAGGCTAGGGCTCTACCACTTGAGCCACAGTGCCACTTCCGGCTTTTTTTTTCTGCTTATGTGGTGCTGAGGAATGGAACCCAGGGCCTCATGCATGCAAGGCAAGCGCTCTACCACTGAGCCACCTTCCCAGCCCCATGTCTTAGGATTTTGATGTCTGTCTGGAAATATGTAGTCAAGGATGTGTTTTCTCTCTCCCATTATAGTTTCTGTCACAATGAAGTAGACTGTTCATTGGAAAGGAATCAACTAATTACAGTTTACTTTTAAACAGATTTATTTTAAATAGATTATCATCTAGTATTTAAAATCATTTATCTGAACTGTCAATTTACCGTTGCTTTTCCCTTTACAGATATTCCCCAGATGTCGTCTGGTAATGACCAGGTTTCTATACCCATGTCTCAGAGAAACACAAATGGTCTTACCGGAATGACCTCCTATGACATGAAGACAGTTACTGAAGGGGCTGTGTTGAGTTTTCATAACATCAGCTATCAAGTGAAAGTGAAGAGTGGCTTCCTCTTTGGCCGGAAAACAGTTCAGAAAGTAATACTATCAAATATCAAGTAGGTGCACAAACTTTTTTTTTCAAAACATTAATTAAACAAAGGAATTATATTGTATCATTTATATACACACATATAATGCACCTTGAGCGTATTTACTTGTCTATATTATTCCTTAATCCTTTTCTGCTCTCTCCCATTTTTATAACAGCTATGATAAGTTTCATTATGCTATTTTCATACATATGTAAAATATACTTCTATCATATTTCATGCATGAACTTGTTAACTGCTTTATTGACATATGGTGAATTTCAAGGATTTTGCATATTACTAGTAAGCTGTTGTGAATGTCTTTATATATGTATATATATATATATATATATATACATACATATACATACATACACACATGCTTTTCTTTCTTTTGTTTAAACTAGATTAGATCACTTGTGTTGTGTATGTTTTATGTGTATGTTTTAACTTTCAAAGGATCTACCAAACTATTTTTTAATAAGAACTGTACCACTTGTATCTACTTTGTGGGGGAAGGGAGACCTGAACAATTAATGTGTTACTTTGTTTCTCTTGGGTAAGTCTTGCTTTTTGGCCTGGCTGGATGATTTACTGCTTTTTGATTGCAGGGATATAGTTGTAACCTGAGGTTTCATTTTCCCATCTGGAAGAGACCATATAGACCATATATACCTCCAGATCCATGCGTGTTTTAGAAACTTAGACACTATTGACTCTTTGTATTCTAGCAGCAAGGGTGTTTAAATGATAGTATATTGTTTAAATGATAGTATAATGGGGTGGTTTATAGTCTGAACCAATTAATACTTTTCTTCCATTATAAAAACAAAAAAATTTCCATACAAGAAAACTGTACTTTAGCTGAAGTTATGCAACCAAAGTAAAAAATGGTAAGGATTTAGAATCCAATTGAATGTATTCAACTCTACTGTAAAAGCATCAGGTAATTATGATTTGTATTTTTTTCCTTCTGCAACAAATTCCATTCAGGGCATAGTGTTGAATGGGTCCTAGAGCAAGGAAAGAGATGAACGTAGAACCTACCTAATACCAGGTAGACTCTAGTAGTTCAGAGATGTCACTACAGTTCATGCTTTTATGATTCCCAAAGAATTTATACTTCTCTATGGTATCAGGAAGAAATTTGCATCAAGCAGCATAATGTATGTGTTTTATTTGTTGAATGGCAGAAAATAATTATTCCTAGGCAAAGCCAGCAAGTTCTTTTGACTGTAAAGCTTGGGAATTGGTTTATAAAAGTGTCCTTTGACTCAGTGTGGCTGCAGACCTATATGGAATCAGATCACCCTCCTGTTTCCTTGATGCTTTGTAAGGAGCTATTGTCTTTTCTTCCTAGAAAGAAACTTTGCAGGTCAGAAATGTCCTAGTTTTTTCACAGGGTAAGGCAATGTGAAAGCAGGATAGAACATTACTGGGTGTCAATGGGAGAGAAATGATAAGATTTTGAGACTGACATGGGCCAGACTCCTGTGCAGGATTAGAACTCTGCCTACACAGCAACACCTACTATCATATGCCTGTTACTTTTGTCTAGTTAAGGACTCTTTATTGAAGAATAAGAAATAGGATGGTGGATGCAAAGCTTGTGTGTGTGTGTGTGTGTGTGTGTGTGTGTGTCCACACTGTCCTGAGGCTTGAACTCAGGACCTCGGCACTGTCCTCCCTCAGCTTTTTGCTCAAGGTTACTTACCATTGTACTACTCAAGCCACAGCTCCACTTCTGGCTTTCTGATATTCAATTGGAGATAGAGTCTCAGGACTTTCCTACCTGAACTGGCTTTGAACCACAATCCTCAGATTGATCCTGAGTAGCTCCTGAGTAGCTTGAATTGCAGGTGTGAGCCATCAGCACCTGGCAAAGCTTTTTATCTTTTGCTGTCTGCTTAAGCAGGGTAACTTAATGAAGCACAGACAAACCTTTTGTAACTCATAGTAATCAAGAAAATAATGGTAATCTCAGCTGAAAGAGGTGGAAAGTAACAATTTGAATGTGGGCCAGTTGATTAGATGTAAAAACGCATATTGTGTGAGGACACATTTTTTTCAGCTTCTTATTGTTATTATAAAGGTGATATACAAAGATTTGAGTGCAGTTACATCAATCAGGTAAATAGTATATTTTTTGGACAATGTCACCCTTTCCCTAGTGCTCTCCCAGTTTTTCCTTTCTATCCCTAACCCACAAGTTGTATAGTTAATTTTCAACATAGTGTCTGGTGAGTACTGGTGCTGTATTTGTTCACCCTTTGTCCCTCCATTTCTATGCCCTCAGTTACATCCCAAAGATAGGTAAGTAAAGAAACAAGGCAAAAAGATAAAACAGCAACAAGTTCCTGAAGTTGATAAATAGTATTTTAGATGATGAGATGCACATAGAGGACACATTTTTTTTTATTATTTTTTGATTGGTCATGAGGCTTGGGCGCTGTCCCTCAGTTCTTCAGCTCAAGGCGAGCGCTCTACCACTTGAGCTACAGCACCACTTCCAGTTTTCTGGTGGTTTATTGGAGATAAGAGTTTCACGGACTTTCCTGCCTGGACTGGCTTTGAACCGTAATCCTCAGATCTCAGCCTCCTGAGTAGCTAGGATTACAGGCGTGAGCCACCGGCGCCCGGCTAGGACACATTTTTTTGAATGTGGTACTGAGATTGCTTTCAAGGCCTTTGTCATGCTAGGCACGTGCTGTAGCACTGAGAAGCTTTTCTTACTACTTTCAAGTTGAGAGAATAGTGATGAGATACACCAAATGCCTCCTGTGCTCAGAGCTTCACAGTATTTATGGTTGAATGATGGCATCTTAGCAAAGAAGAAGGCTTTCCTAGACTCATAAAAACTAGACTAATCTTGCAATTCTGTTTTTTTTTTATAATTGGAAAGACACCAAGGGTTGGTATTCAGGCTTACTCACATTTCTTTGTGAGTATACATGGGAACATCATCCTTTGTTTTTTCTATGCCAGTCCTGGTCTTGAACTTAGGGCCTGGGAATTGTCCCTGAACATCTTTTGGTCAAAGCTCTACCACTTGAGCCACAGCCCCCACTTCTGACTTTTGTAGTTTAGTGGATATAAGAGTCTCACAGACTTTCCTACCCAGGCTAACTTTGAACCATGTTCTTCAGATCTTAGCCTCCTGATTAGCTAGGATTATAGGTGTGAGCCACCAGTTCCTGCAAAAGAACTAGGACAATAAATCTTTTGGGAATTGTTAGGTGTTACTTATAATCTAAAGTCTTCTTTTGTGTGCCAGTTCTAGGGCTTGAACTCAGAGCCAGAGTGCTATCCCTGAGCTTTTTGTGCACAATGCTAGTGCTCTGCCACTTTGAGCCACAGCACCATTTCCTCATGATCCTTTTTTGACTACACCAATTTCTCTGGTCTTTGGGATCTAAATTAGAGCTCCTATGGTGTGGGAAGGGGTGCTGTCATTATCTTCCTTAGGTTTGATAGCATATCACCATTTAGATCAACACCTATATTCATAAAATGTTGAAGAGAATTAAGAATGATAAAAACAGAAACTCATCCTTGGCAACTGTCCTAGTGATAGAAGATTCAGATAGATAAAAGTCATAAAATGTTGAAGAGAATTTTGACTTTTATCTATCTGAATCTTCTATCACTAGGACAGTTGCCAAGGATGATTTTCTGTTTTTATCATTCTTAATTTACATTTCTCAGTGAGAAGTTTCATTTATCATCTATTTGATTTGCTGTATAGATTCGTGTATTTATATTTCATTCAATTGCATTCAGAAGTAATACATTACTATTATTTAATCTCTATACTTGTATTTTCCTGATGAAGAGTGAAAGGATTTTCAAGGTGAGTCCCTCATTCATTTGATTTACCCTCATCCTTCAGTATTTCCTTTGCTTAGGAAGAAGTTCCAAACATTATATTTAACCTGCTTCGGATCTAGAATCAATTGCTGTTTATTTTTTGGAGTATGTATTTAGAAACCAAGGTCTGGGTGTTGAGAATGATCATTGCTAAACCAGGTGCTGGGGACTCACCTCTAAAATCTTAGTTATTCAGGATGCTGAGATCTGAGGATATGTTTGAAGCCAGCCCAGGTGGAAAAGTACATTAGACTCTTATCTACAAGTAACCAGAAAAAAGTCAAAAGTGGAGGTGTGACTTGAGTGGTAGAGCACCAGGCTTAAGCAAAAAAGCTAAACAAGCATGCGAGGCCTGAGGTCAAGTCCCAGTACCAGTACAGCAGAAGAAAAAGGAGGAAAAGAGGAGGAGGAGGGAGGAGAGTAAGGGAGAAGGAGGAGGAAAGGAAGGAAGGAAGGAAGGAAGGAAGGAAGGAAGGAAGGAAGGAAGGAAGGAAGGAAGGAAAGAAGGAAGGAAGGAAGGAAGGAAGGAAGGAAGGAAGGAAGGAAGGAAGGAAGGAAGGAAGGAAGGAGAATGCTCTTGCTGTTAGAATTCCATTACTTTGAGGCTTCTCAATGGAAATAACTAGGAAATATATTTTCCATCTAACTTTCTTTAGCTGCCTCTATATAGATTTAAACTCTTGACATCCCATTAATGCATGAATTCGAATCCAACACTTTGGATTCTTCCACATTTCTATATCTGGGAAAGACCTGGATGTCATTAGTCTTAATGTACTTACTACTTTGCTCAAGTTTTCTTCTTTCTTAATGTAAGCATGTGTCTAGTATGGAGGCTCCTCTCATCCTCCATCCTTGAATTGTGGTCTGTATTCTTGGGTCATGCAGTGGCTTTGTCTCTCCCCAGAACTCCCATAACCTCCCTACTGGAAAAGGAAAGGAGGGGGATTAGCCTAGTAGATATGATTGACACATTATTGGAACCAAAAATAACAAATAAGAATGTAACTCAGTTTTTTTCCCATTCACAATGTATAAATTTTGATAAGTTATTTTTTTAATTACCTGACTTTTTATTTTCAAGACTAGGACTTGGACTCTTAATCTGATGCTTTTACTTATTGGCTAGTGCACTACCACCTGAGCCACATCTTCAACCT